ATTTTATTTTTTAAAACATATTTCTGATTGTAGTAAAACACACCCAACATAAAATTTACCATCTTAGCCTTTTTAAACATTTTACCATTCGTTGGCGTTAAGCGCAGTGCCAGGATGTGCAGCTGCCCACAGCGTCCACTTGCAGAGCACCAGTCACCCTGCCCCACTGCGGCTCCGCGGCTCTGTCCCTACGGAGGGTCAGGTCTCTGGCTGCTCCTTCACCCCGCCCACCTCACTTGCAGCCGCGGTGAAAGTGATGCCCAGGACCCGCTGGCGCATGTGCGTTCTCACTCGCGTTGTAGTTAAGCAGTGCACTTTTACATCGGCTGAGTTTCTGGACATCGCAGAAGCTGAGCATCTGGACAGCACGGAAGAGGAGATGCTCATGGTGCCGCTTGAGCGTCTCACTGTTTACATCACACTCTGCGTGCAGGAGCCAGAGCGCTCAGCTGAGGTCGCTGAGCGGAGAAGCCGCGCCAGTGAGCCGCTGCGTCCGTGCATTTGCACGGAGCTGCGCCGCTGCCCATAGTAGGAGTCGGGCCAGCCTGCCAGCGGTCACGTGAGGGAGGTGCGGCCTTTGCACCTGCGGCCCACTTCTGTGGGTTTTCTTCGCAGACTGCACTTTCTTAATCATCCACAGCGTATTGCTTTGCCCGCACCCTTCGCTGTGGGACCGCCCATGTGTCTTCTCGGAATCACCGGGAAAGGCGCTGAGAGAAGACGCGGGTAAAGCGCTGCCGGGTACCAGAGGCTCCCCAGCAGCTGTGTCTCAAATGCGGTGCACCTCTGAGATGCGCACTTCAGGGGCATAAACCCACCAACCCACCATTGCCTTCCATCCCAGATTAACACACAGCGGACGCTAGATGGTGCTGCAGACTAGGAAACGCGTCTCCCCCGCGGACGAGCAGGTTCCCAGCTCCCTGTGTGTCTCTTTTCTTCCTCTTCACCTTTTCCTGGTCAGCGCACCTTGCTTGGTTCGTGGCAGACCCTGTCAGCTATCCTACACACCAGATCTGAACGCGTTTCCTGGATTCCTCATCTGTCTCAGGGTGAAACCAGGCTCCACTTGCTAAGGACAGTGAAACACGAGAGATGTGAATTTGAGATTCGATGAGCGCCCCAGATATTTGGGGCAGAGTCCATGCCCAGCTTTGTCCTGGGCTATTTAAAGAAAGAAAATAACTATTTACAGCTTGATGGACAGCCATGTCGTCTGACCTGAATTTGGGCAACAAATACATTCTCACTAGTCTGTGCACGGTGAGATTTCAGATGTAAAGCCGCTTTTGAGTTTCTCTTCTGGTCTTCACTCCAGAGGGGCAGCCTAGGGAGAGATTTTTGCACTAGGTTAGTGTGGAGGAGGGACTTAGTACTAACACCCTTGTGTCCTGTTCATCTGCTTCTGTTGCCTGGCAGAAAAGCTGCTCACAAGTGGATGATTTTTGATCTCTACTCATTCCTGGGACTGGGAAAGAATTCAGCAGCTGGTCACACAGGGGGAGACCTGGGGTTCCCTGGAGGTGGACTGGGTGATGGGACCGAAGCTATGATGTTTGCGAAAAACGAGTTTCAAACAAGCAAGCAAAACTACCTTAGTCTAGAACGTGAATTGTTTTGTCTAGAATTGGCCCTTAGAAATCCCTGTTTGGGCTTTTAATTGTTGGTCCATGTTAGAACCTAAGAAAGTTTAAGTACAGTGAGATAACTGTAGTGATCTTATTATTAAAATCATTGAAATGCTGATTCCCCAGGGGACACCTGGAAGCTGATTCTGGAGGGGGCATTTCCAGACCCTTTAGAAAGGTTTCCTTTTCTTCTAGCAGCTATGGAAGGGATTATTTGAGGTACCCAGATACGCTGGTTGGATATGATTCCTGAAAATTATATCCTGCTCTGTGATTGATAGCAGATTAACTAGCTTGGTTTAAAAGATACCTGATTAAATGATTAGAGCAAAAGCAGCTGTATCTACAACCCTACCCAGAGAAGCGTCATTATGAGGACCTGTGTCTATTGATTTGGTTTAGCAGGGCGGGTGGTACACTTTGGTAATCCTAGAACCCTGGGAGGCTGAAGCAAGAGGAGACAGCAAGTTCAGCCTAGCTGGGCTACTGAGCAAGAAAAAAAAAAAAGAGAGAGGGGTGGCTGGCAGGTGGCTCAGCGCAGAGGCCTAGGCTTCACTCCCCAGAACTACTAAAGACAAAACCAAAATGGCGTTGCACTTGACCTGACAGCAGAGGGCAGCCAGGGAGGACCCGCCTGGCAGTGGGAAGCAGCGATGGGGCAGCAATCTCTGTGTGCCACTGGGCTTCTCCTCAGCATCCTCCCTGCCCAGGCAGCTCCACCCCTGTTGCCTGGGGTCCGGCATTGTGTGTCCCCAGACCACTGCTGTGTGGTTATGTGCACTCTGCCCTTCACCCAGGGTCCACTCTTCTTCTATGGTCCACTGAGGGAGAATTGCAGTGTCATCTACAGGGGAGCTGAGCATGGCCATGCTGTTCATTGTTTTATGGGCCTGAGACTGAGCTGCTGCTAACAGAGCAACAGCCGGGGCAAGTGCGCTCAGGGACAGTGAGTGGTCCAGGCCTTCAGAGCTCCAGTTTGGTGCACTGCACGGGACCTGCGACCTTTGCTGTCCAGCAGGGCCCATGCTGAGGTCCTCGTACGTGCAGGACCCAGAGCTTTGGCCATCGCCCGGCCTCCATTCCTTTCTGGTGTCCCCAGGGTTCCTCAGCCACACAGCTGGCCATGGTACAGCCACAGGACCCTGCATGTGTCCTGAAGATCTGTCCCTAAGCTTTCCTCTGCTTGTCCCCTCACCCTAGCCATGCGTAACAGTCCTGCTTGCTGACTTTCGGTGCACTCATCATGATTTGACAGGAATTGCTAGTTACTGGCTCAGCACTTCAGCCTTTTACTCTCTGGACCCAGGATAAATATTCGGCACTCATTCCTGAGCTTCTCCTCCACCAGTTCTCTCCTTGCCCGCTGGGCCTCGGCGCCTGGGGCCACCTCCATGCCTGTGTGCCCCTGTACCACTCAGCCCTCCCTGCTCAGTCTGTCCCCAGTAGAACCTGTGCCAGGCAGACGCCCTGGCCTTCTGGTGGCTGTTTGAGTGGCCAGCTGTCTGGCTGTCCTCTTTGACCTTGGGCAAGTCTGCCTGAAGCCTGCCTGTATTCCTTTCCTGCCAGGCCTCTATCAGGCCCCTGCCGGGACAGCACTGCTGGCGGATAAATGCCAAGCTGGAGACCCTGGCCCATGGGCTCTGCCTCTCCCAGCTCCCAACACCCCCAGACGCTGACCACTGGGTCCCCTATCCCCTCTTCCCTCAGTCACGCTCTGTGCCAGGCCTTCTGCAGGCTGTTTTTGAGGGTTAGTTGTATCTCATGATGCCCCTTAGATGTGAGAGGCAAGGAAGCCAAGGCAGATGCCATGGGAAACTTGTCTGGCCATGTTGGAGACCAGACCTAAAGCCTTGTGCATGCCAGGCCAGCCCTCTACCTCTGCCTTGTGTCCCTACATGCCTTCTGAGGCTGCTGTGTCCAGGCCAGCACACATGGGGACCTGGCTTGTCAGGATCCATGACCATGACCAGCGGCCTCCCTAGAGCCCCCCTGCCCCTCGCATGAGGCTTTGGGGGACATCTGACATAGACTGTTCCAAGGACTCCGTGGGCCATGGTGGTATTTGGGACCGGCTCAAGCACAGTTTGTGTGCTGCATGTTTTATTTCTATCATTGCTGCATTGTGATCTACAAAGATACAGTCGCATAGTTCACCAGTGTGCAGAATCCCCGGCCCAGCTTGCTTTCTGTAGCTGGTGATGGTGACAGTGAGGGCAATGGTGAAGTGTGCCACTGGTGCCAGTCTGCTCTGTGATCTCCTCTTGGCCTGCAGCAGGTGTAGCTGGCCCATCCCTAACTGCCCTCTGCTCCCTGGAAGGGTCTCAACCTGAGTCTGCCAGCAGTGGCTTCACCTCAGCCTCAGAGCAGCAAGACCTCAGTGCTGAGGTCTACTGTGTCTCAGGGCACCACCACCACCGCGCGATCATTGGCTTCTCATAGAGTATGACAGTGGGACCCAGGTCCATCGCACATGCAGCTCACCGTGGGGCTGTGCCCTGTGCCAGGCGGTCGGATGCCCCTTTTCTGACACCTGGTAGGCTGAAGCCTTGGGGAGCGGCCAGAGACAAGGACTCCCGCTCCCCTGCAGTGCCGCTCTGGCTCCTAACAGATCTCAATGGGCACCGTCTATGGCCTGGAGTGAGGAGTCTGCTCTGTGGCCCAGCCCAGCCCTTCCACGTCTGTGTGCACTGAGCCCCATCCCAAAGCTTGTGAGTCCTGGCTTTCAGGGGAGACAGAGCCAACAGGATCTGGAAAGTAGGTGAAGGTTAGCAACAGCCCCTGTGGTCACCAGGGTGTGACAGAGCCCTGGCCTCCAGGATGGGCCACAGCCATGGTATGTCATTTCGGCAGCCAGAGTCCAGGCTGGTTTTGGCCTTCACCCGATCAGATGAGGCCCACCCCAGTTAGAGAGTGGCCTGATTCCTACAAGGTGATTGAACTGGTCGCATCTCTGGCCTGCTTGTGGAGCAGCATCTGGTCAACCTTGCATTAGGCGAGCATTGTGCCCTCACCACTGCTGTGAGGCCCAAGGGCACCTATGTCAGCAGCAGTATGCAGTCATGCTACGCCAGGGCTGTGTCCCTGTGGGGTCTGACGGGGACGAGGTTGGGCTAGGCTGTGTTCCTTCACTGTCTCTGTCATACTTGGGGGTCTCAGCAGGAAGATCAACTGGCCTACTTCTAGCTCTTTGTCCACATGGGACAGCGCCCAGTAGGGTGCCTGCCCCGGGGTGATGGGACAGGGGGATTGTGCCTTCTGAGTTGCATCTCGGGTGTCAGTTGTTACTGAGCCTCAGTGTCAGTCTGGGGATCCATCCCCATGGTACACGCCTGCTGCTGACACCCCTCTCTGCTCTCGCCCTGCCCCCTACAGAGGATGACGACTTCGCGTCGCTGGTGGATGACATGAAGGCATCCCTGGAGGGCCTGTACATAGGCAACATGCACTCGGACACGGTGCCTCTCCTGCAGAATGGCCAGCCTAGCCGCAGCCAGACTGGCCGCAGCCAGCCACCGGCCCCGAGCCAGCCGCCGGCCCCGGCCGAGAGCCAGCCGCCTGCTCCAAGCCAGCCGCCTGCCCTGGCCCCGAGGCCTCTGGAGCCTCCGGCCCCGGCCCCGAGGCCTCTGCAGCCTCCGGCCCCGGCCCCGAGGCCTCTGCAGCCTCCGGCCCCGGCCCCGAGGCCTCTGCAGCCGCCGGTCCCGGCCCCGAGACCTCTGCAGCCGCCGGTCCCGGCCCCGAGACCTCTGCAGCCGCCGGCCCTGGCTCCGAGACCTCTGCAGCCGCCGGTCCCGGCCCCGAGGCCTCTGCAGCCACCTCCCTCGCCCCTGCCAAGGGTGCAGCGCTCCCAGCCAGTGCACATCCTTCCGGTCAGGTGAGTGACACCAAGGTGCCAGCGGTACTGGGTGGGAAGGGGCTGCAGCGACTGCAGGTGGATATCGGTGTGTGTGCAGATGTGTGGGTGGGCCCACTGCAGGGTGCTCAGGGCTAAGCATGGTGCCCAACCTCTTCTATAGTACCTGCTACATGTGAGGTGCAGGGGTATGCGGGCAGATGTGATGTAACTTCTGAGGTAGGTAACTAAGTGCCCCAGGACTGCACTGCCCAGAATGAGGCCATGGGCAGTGACAGAGTTGCCCCAGAGGTTGGTGAAACCCCACCTTGGGGAGTTCTGGACTTAGTCCCTGTGGAATAACAGTGGAGGGGTTGCTGGAAGCAGGGATTCTGGAGAGGATGGCTGGGAAGGTGGGGAAAGGTGGGGGCTGTGGAGCACATGGTGACAAAGGAGGGCCAGCTCAGTGTGAGGGGCTGGCACAGAAGGCCTGTGTGTCCTGCCCAGGCGCTGAGGGCCAATGCGTCCTCCCCCGGGTGCTGAGCACTGGTGTGTCCTCCAGAGGATGCTATGGGGAACTGCAGGGCACAAGGCACCCTTGCTGTCAAGTGTCCCCAGGCCAAAAAGCTGCAGAGGACCAGGGGACCGTGGTGTCCAGATAGGAAAGAGCTGAGGACAAGCCGCTTCCTGGTGCCTGTGCTGGTGGCAGGCAAGGGACAGGAACAACGTGCAGTGACGCTGGCTTTGTCTCAGCCTTCTGGGGAGTCCAGGAGTGAGCTCTGTGGCACTGGCCATGCACGGTCCCTGGCAAGGGATGCCACCCCTCATTGGAGACCTGCAAGGCTATGGGGGCCTTGCTGGGCATCAATGGCTTGTCACTGTCTCTTGCTCACACTGTGTCTCTGTGGGTCTCTGTCCCCTCATTTTCAGAAGCTTCTGAGACATCCTTTCTTGTCCAGTGCCCTGGGTGCTGGGAGGTGGAGGGGCCTTTGGGACCTCAGGTCACTCCCACCCCGGGGCTGTGCCAGGAATGGCAGGTTTTAACCCTGTGGACTCTGTCCTCACAGGCGCCTTCAGGAGGAAGACCAGCAGTTCCGAACCTCGTCTCTGCCGGCCATCCCCAACCCGTTTCCTGAGCTCAGCAGGACTCGGAGCCCCCCTCTGAGTGCACCTGGCTCTCTACCTCCGACCCAGGTCATCATGAAGCAGGTGAGCACACCCTGTCTGGCCCATGGGTGCTCGGCCTGGATCTGGGCAAACACGTAGGCATGGTGCTGCCAACAGTGGGGGAACTGGAGACCTTCTCCGTGCGTCCTTCCCTGTGGCTGCTGGGTTGCTGTCGTGTGAGACTTTCAATGTTTACTTCCCAAGACTTTGTTGTTTGTGAAAGAGTCTCATAGCCGTGATTGTTTAAAAATAATGATTTAGTGATTAAAGATGCATGTTGGTTCTTTAAAAGAAATGCTGTGGCCAGGTCACACTCTAGTCTGGGCTCAGGCATCAGTTAACTTTCTCAGCACAGGGACAGAAGTGCCCAACACCCACGATTCAAGGAGGAGAGGCTGCTTTGGCTCAGGATTTCAGTCTGTGGTTCGCTGGCTTCAAGGTGGGAAAAGCATGGCAGAGGGGCCAGGAAGCAGACAGAAGGCGGCACTGGGGATCCTTTCTGGTCACACCCCAGTGACCTCCAGCCAGGCTCTGCTGCCCAGTCAGCCTGAAACCCACCATGATGAATCCTCTGATGAGTCCCAGCACCCCAGGACCCCTCACCTTCCACACAGGAACAAATCTGGGGAGGGCATTTTAGATCTAAAGCATAACAGCCAGCCTGGGCCCCTGTCATGGGACGGGTGGTCAAAGAGTCCCCAACCCTCAGTGTTATATGTAAATGGTAGGGGATACAGCCTCTGCCCCATGGTTTGGCCAATGCCACAGAGCAGAGCAACCCAGGAACCCTGCTGAGCTGGTTTCCTCTTGGTGCCCGAGTTGTGCCATGGGAAGATGTTGTGCTGCGGTCTCTCTGGTCTTTGTCACGCTGGCTGGGGCTGGCAGGAGTGGGCAGTGGGTCTTCTTCGGTACAGGTTGTATGAAGCTACTGGTCTTTGCTCTTAGTTTTAACCTAGTGTTTTCGGCTTGTGTGAGGGGTTGTTTTGTGTCCCTGTGCATGTCTGTGTGTTTGTGTGAGATACCTGGGATCAAATCCATGGCCTTAACAGTGAGCTAATGTCCCTAGCTCTATTTTCATTTTGAGTCAGAATCTGGCAGGGTCACTAGGGCTGGCCTCAAACTTTGTAGTCCTCCTGCTTCAGCCTCCCAGAGCATTAGAGTTGCAGGCGAGTGTCACCAGCCTCAGGCTAGATAGGACATTTTCCACAGCTCCGTGGCCTGCTTGGAAATGACAGACTCTGGAAGGAGACCACAGATTCCTGTCATAATGCCCCTGGTTCTGCTGGCTAGGAAGGCGGGGCTTACCATCCTCCATTGTGGGGTGTCCTGGGCTTCTCTGTGCCTCAGTGAACCCAGGTCACAAGGGTCCCCTTTGAGTGAGACCCTCAGGGCTTCTTGGCCCAGACTCCAGAGCCAGCAGGCACTTGCTGCTGGGCCATGAGCTGGTCTTAACTGCTGCTCTCAGCGCCTGCTGTGTGCTTTGCAGTTGTGACCACAGATGACAGAAGCCCTAAGAACTCAGCTGAGGGACAGCTCAAGCCGCAAGGACAAATGTCAGGACCTCAGGCTGCACAAGCCCCGTCCATCTGGGGACCCAGTGGCCAGGTCTGTGGAGGACCCAGAGGGTCAGAGTTCACACTAACGATCTGAAGTGTGGCTTTGTTTTCTGAAACCATTGTGTGGACTTCCACTGTCCCAGGACAGTGCCGGGTTCCCTCAGAGGCACAGACTCAGGGCTCTCAGCCGGGGAGCCTAGGACCCCACACGGCACTCACAGGGGCAGTGGTGTCCAGAAGGGGTGGTGGTTTTCTGTCCGGGCAGCAGGATAAGGTCCCCAGAGAGCTGGGCGCTGTGGCTGCTGCCTCCTGTGAGAGTCCATCTCGGGCTGCATGGAGCAGAAATTCTCAAGCTCGGGTGGTGCTGTACACCTAGAATCCCACCTGTTTGGGAGGCTGAGACTGCGGTAGGCAGGGTTGAGACTGGCCCAGGCAACTCAGCAACTTAGTGAGACCCTGTCTCATAAAACAGAAATGGCCCGAGGATACAGCTCAGTGTAAAGGCCTCGGGATCAATTCCGAAAACTGCGAGAAACAATAGCAATAATAGTAATTCTGCTCAAGTCAGGAGAAGGGCCTGGGGACCAAAGCTCCCGACAGCCGGAAAGAGGTGAGGGGGAAGGGAAGTGGCGGAGGCAGCCGCCTGCATGCAGGGAAGGGCGTCTCTGCTGTCTGTGGAGGTACAGCCCTGCCCTGTGAGGGACCAGGCTCATGTGGGCTCCACAATCACACTGAATAAGGAGCAGACGGGTCCCCGGCTCTGACTGCAAAGAGAGGAACATGCTCTGAGACAGACCAGTCCTGGCAGCCCCAGGCAAGTCCCTAGGCAGGTGTGTCCCCGAGCTCCTTGCTCTCAGGATGTGGCAGGTTTCCGGGTCGCTGTGTTGCTCTTGGCCCCTGCACTCTGTGTGTCCTCGGAGACCAGAAGATGGCAACGCATAGGCTGTCAGCCCCAGTTACCCTCCAGCTCTTCACGTGTCCCCTCTGAAACCCCCTGTATCCATAGCGGCGGGGTCTCCCGACCCCACTTTGGGCAAGGTGCTAAAAGTGGCTCAGGCATCACTGGCCACCACACCTTCTGAGGCAGTGCTGCTGAGCGCTCCAAGCCCACTGGACAGAGAGGAATCCCCGAACTTCTGCATTTGCCTCTGAAGAAATGGTGCAATTGCAGCTTCGAGTTGTAACCTGGAACAGGCTGTGTGTTGGATAAATTCGAGACAGGAAATGGTCCAGGAGCTTCATGTGAAATCCCACCCACTGATGTTTCTCTGGACTATAAATATCTCCTGAGACACAGATTCTCTAGACTTCTACGGATCCTTTATTACAGCCGGAGATGTCTCTGACTCTCTGGAGCACTGAAAATAGGAGTCAGTGAAGCCTCTGTGTCTCTGCAGGCAGTCTGGCTGTGCTCTTCCCAGAAGTGAGTCCTGTCCATGTGCAGCCAGTGTGACAGGCAGCATCTGTAGAGGCAGAGTCCAGGTGGGCTGCAGGGTCACTGCCCAGCTCTGGGGTCTGGCGCCCTCCAAACTGAGCCACCTGACCCCCCGATCCTGCCATGGCCCACCAATCTGATGTGCAGTCCAGCTCAGTGTGCTCATTTGAGGTTTCATAGAAAGACAGCAGATCACTGGAGCACGGCCATTTCACTAGCACTTTTTCCCTGGTGCGTGTGATCAAATACCTCGCCCTCTTCAATTTGCATCTGTGAGGGAGCCTGTGCATGACCACGTGGAGAGGTGGCCGATGATGCCCACAGCACCTCCACACTGGTGCTGGCGTCACACGAATGGGGCATCCCTGACCACAGCATGGACATTAGGATGCTCCCAAATCTGACACCTTTCAAGGGCAGACACAGTGCCTCAGGAGGAGACTGCACGCCACAGGACTGCGCTTCCTAACCAGGATTCCTGAAGAGGTCTAAAATACCCTTAAGACTCAGTGAAGACTATGTGAATAAAACATAAGTCATGTTCATGCTCATGCTTGGGTCCCATCCTGCATACAGACTCATCATGTACAAAGTCTAAAACCCAAAACAATACCGAGTCCAGCAATCTGGGTGAGGAGCCCTCAGCCTGGGCCTGTGGTCAGTCCTCGTTCTGCGAAATTACTGGACTGAAATGGGTCAGAGCTCTGTGCCTGGTGGAGGCGTTGCATGTTGTGATGAGGTCTTTGCCCCTCTCCCTCAGTGTTCACACCGTGCCCGGCACTGTCATGGAGGACGATGACCAGCAGGTGTGCCAGCCCGGGGGTCCTGCCAGGCCTAGTCTCCTCCGCCCACTGTGGGCACAGCCACCTCTGACCCAGCATGGTGGCCGCCTCCCGTCCTGCACTAGACTTTTTCTGTTCTCCTTCTTAGGCATACCTCAGTCTCTTAACTAGCCTGAGGAAAAGTAACTTGAGTCGTAAAAATGTAGAAAGTAAAAAAAGGACTCCCTGGAGGAATCCGGGCACGGGTGTCTGGAAGAGAGAATGTGGTAAACAGCCTCCCGCCTCGCACTGCCAAGTCTCCACACTTCTAGGAAGAGGACGCAGATGGTGACCCGTTCAGGAGGTTGCCGAGCGCACACCCTGTGCTGGCTCTTACTTTCCTGCACGGAAAGAGCCAAAAGTTCGTGGCTGGGTGCTTTTATGTTTCTAGAGCAGTATTTTAACAAAGTATGATAGTGCAAGCCTGTGATCCCAGCACTCTAGGGAGGCTGAAGCAGGAGCGTTGCAAGTTAGAGCCCAGCCTGGATAATTTAGTAACTTAATGAGACCCTGTCTCAAAGTATAAAATTATAAAGGCCTGTGTTCCTGTGCAAGATCAGATGACCACTTTCTTGGGAGCATGGGCAAGTGCATCATATGGGGACAGGAGTGTGTGATAAGTAAAAACGTGCAACAGCAAAAGAAATGTTGCCGTTAACGCTCCCCAAATGCACTCTCACTGGGAGCACACCCATCAGTCTCACAGAGAGCAGGGATCCAGGGTGCGCACTGCCATGCCTAGCAGGTAGTGCAGTGTCCTAAGCACACTTTCAGCACAGAAGCTGAGAGATCGTAAATGGATTTTGTCCTGCTTGGCTAAGACAACTGTGCGACAATTATACCGCCCAAGAGCGGTTCACTGTGCTCCCAGCCCAGTGTGTTTGGAGTTAGAGAGCACTGCGGCCCATGTGGAGAGGCCTGGTGGCTGGCTTTGTGACCAGGCCTAGTGGAGAAGCCCTGAGCTTGCTTCTACTGCAGAATTCCTCCCCTGTCCCTTCTGTCCTGTTGGGTGGCAGTGTCCCCATGGCAGCGGGAGTCGGCCCATCCCTGTGATGACATCTAGAGTTGGTATCAGATCTCTGTACTAGTTGATCCAACAGCCACCTGCTTGCTGGGGGCAGAGGCCTCTGAGGAGTGGAATGCGTAAGCACCCAGCCCTTCCCACCTTCGTTCACGCAGAAACTTCTGCCTTCCACCACCTGGTGCCTCCCGGAAAGCCTGGTCATCCCA